CTCTTTTCGCGAAAACGGCCTGGCGAACGGTCAAGAGAAAAACGCCAGCAAAGGCAGTTTTGCCCCGGATTTGCGGCCTTCCGCGGCTCGAAATGGTCGGCGAAGTTTTCATTTTGCACCATGCTCATTGCCAATTTGCACATTGCGATTTCTTAACTTGCCGAGGCGAAATTCGCTCCATAAACTCAAATTGTCCCTACCACTAAACAGGCGCGATCGTGCCTGTCTTCGCGGGTGGTCATTTGCTGCTCACCGGAGCGCAACGTTTTCATTTTTTTATCTAGAGGTCGTAAATCTATGTCGCACGTCACACCAAGCAAAAAGGGGTTCACGCTCGTCGAACTTCTGGTGGTTATCGCCATTATTGGAGTGCTGATCGCGCTGCTGCTGCCTGCCGTTCAACAGGCTCGTGAAGCAGCTCGACGTATTCAGTGCTCGAACAACTTGAAGCAGATGGGCCTCGCGCTGCACAACTTCCACGACACCTACGGCGCCTTCCCTGTCGGCACCACCGACGACGACATGAACAACTGGGGCTGGGGCGTCTACCTGCTTCCTTACATCGAACAGAACAACATCTACACCGCGATGACGACCCGCGCCGCCTCGAACGTTCCTCCGGCGTTCCTGGTTTACAAGTCAGGCTCGCACATCAATGTCGATACGTACGACAGCACGACAAGCACCACCAACCCAACCGCGGTTGTCAATCCAAACACCGGCAGCGCTATCGCCGGCGAAGGGGGTGCCACTCAAGTGATTCAAGCGTTCATCTGCCCAAGCGACATCCTTCCTGAAACGGAAGACAACGGCTTCGCGAAAAGCAACTACCTCGGCTGCATGGGTTCCAACTATGGCGGTACCGCTCCGAACATGCCTAACTCGTTCCCTTGGGATACCGCAACCGAAGGTGGCCAGTCGCCTGGCTCGCTCGGCCGCAACTACTGGGGCGTTTCGATGAATGGTGTCTTCGGCGCCGACGGTAGCAACACCGATACCTGGATGCGTCGCTTCGCCGACATCACCGACGGTACCAGCAACACGA